TCACTTCGGGGCCTTCCTCCCCCGCCTGCGCTTCCCGGGCGCTGCCTCCATTCCCGGCGGGTTTCTTTCACCCCTCTCGGCTGGATATCTCGGTTCCGGAGCATCGTCGGTGGGACCGGCCGGGGCGAGAGCGGGTGGAGGACGAACGCGGAGGAAACAACAGGTCTCCCTTCTCCTCGCCTTCCAAACAGATAGCGGCGCCTTGCTCTTGGGATTATAAATGTTTGAACTAAGACCCAGGAAACTGGAAGGAGAGCCTCCCGTTGGAATTAACAGAAGAGAAAAGAAGGGAGGCTTTTCCAAGTCCTCTACGAGAAAGCTCGAGCCGTTTTCCCATGCTGTCCGTACTCTGATTAATAATGCGATTGTGACCTGAGTGGAATTTATGAGCGATGAACTATTGAAGCTTGTTGCACCGCTGCATCAGACTTTTTTTTTTTTTTTTCTTTTTTCCCCCCTCAGCACATGATTCCCCCATCCCAGCTGTCGCAGGACCTGTGGGCCGGTAATAGAGGGATGGGAAGCTGAGACAGTTTATTTTCATTCTTCTGTTCTGGGGACTTGGCTAGTTAGCTGAAGCTGCTGCTGCTTTTTACTGGATCTGCTCTTTACTCGGCAGGTTTATTTGTTTTCATGTGCACGGGGTGTTTCGATTAAATAGACTTTGGACTAGAGCTGAATGGATGCTTTGCAATCCGAAAGGTTTTTGGGGGTAACAAAAAACTACTAAAAACAGAGAAGAACTGGTACTGCAGGAAACCTGGGGCCTGTTTTCCAAGCCTTTTTATTTTATTGAGCAAGGTAAATAACGTAGTGGTGTTGAAAATACAGGGCTTATCGTAATCATGCATGAAAATGTTATAAAGCACTTCAGGGTGTTCCAAGTCTTTAAAGGGATTGAGAGGTCCCACTGTAAGGCTCAGAACAAGTTTAATTGTTCTTTGAAATGTTCAGATAGGAGTGTGAAATTGAAGGCTGAGAAGAAACTTTGTGGTACCTGAGAGGTTGAGAGAACTATTTTTTCTGATTTGCCTTAGGTTCATGTAGGTTTGTCATGTTGAGAGAGGCTGTCTGAAGAACTTTAGAAGTCTTAGTGGTTCACTGAGAGTGTGCAGTAATTATATTAGTGGGTTTTTTCCCATGCTTTTTAAAAAACTTGATGCCTTAGCCTCTTGTAAGGTTCTGTAAGGGTCTCTTAAAAGTCCTTCCAATTTAACAGTAGTACAGGTATTTACTTTTGCATTGTTAATTGTATTCATATTCTGCCTTGAATTATTTTTGCTTACCTTTACTTTTGTTATCTACAGTGACAGCTGCTACCACTTCATGATGAATTTTTTGCTTTTTATCTTCCTTTACATGTGTATCTCCCGAATTGGACTATTTGGATTTACCACTAATTTACATGCATCACTTTTACCATAGACTTTCTACAGCCAGCATAAGCTCAAAGTACTGTTTTAGATACTATCTTGTATGTTTCAAGCTTTGGAAGAAGCAGATAATGATTCACGAAACATGCAGTGTAATCAGTTACTGGTTTAAGTGTATAATTTTTGGTGGCATGCTGCATGCTTATCTGTGTTTTTTTGAAGATCTCAGCAGCAGTTTCCTCTTAACAAAAATATAAATCCATTAAAATGAGATCACAGTTTGAAATGTAGCTGTAAAAATCTGGTTTTGCAAGAACTCACAAGATTCTCATTATGAAGTGATGCTTTGATTAAATTGATTGTATACCTTTTCTCCCGCAGTTTTAATGAAATAGTGGCAAACACTAAGGTGTTGGCAACCTTTGCTGATGCTATCATTGGGAAAGCTAAGTTGGTATTATGGGTAGTATCCAAAGTTCCTTTGCTTATCCTGTTTAGATTTGTTTGACTTAAATTTATGGTCTTTGTTTTGTCTCATTTTGTTTCAAGATGATGTGTGAGGTGATGCCAACCATCAGTGAGGCAGAGATTCCCTCTGGGGGAAATGGAGGCCATGGTTCAGGTTCCCCGTTACAGTCAGATGCTGATTCCCATTTTGAGCAATTAATGGTATCCATGTTGGAAGAAAGGGATCGCCTTCTGGAAACACTAAGAGAAACTCAGGAGACGCTAGCATTGACCCAGGGCAAGCTACATGAAGTTGGTCATGAGAGAGATTCCTTGCAGAGACAGCTCAATACTGCACTTCCACAGGTATGGATGTTTTGAAAGGAAGGTATCTTTCGATAATTTTTTTATTTCTTGCGGTTTTTTTGTTGGCTTTTTGTATATTTAATTTACTGAAGAGTCAGGTTATGTTAGGGGAAGGTCAATCTAGATTAGTACTTTCCTGAAGTATCTGTTGGTGCTTGCTCGCTTTGAGAAAGATATAAAAGCAAGGCAAGCAGGGAACATCAGTCCTTTACCTCCAGTATGCTTTCCCAGTTTCTGGCATTTCTTTGGCTTAGCTTGAGCGTGAACTCTTGTCTACGTCCTTTTGTTTAATAGAACCTGATGGACTTTCTTCTGTCACTAGTGTTTTTCAATGTTGTTTCTAACTGCCTGATTCATTCATGTGCTTAAGAATTACATACAGGCCATTCTGGGAAAAAAAGCAGGCCATTCTGATACCGTTATAGACTTTGATTTAAAAACTTGAAAAGTTTAAGACTGCTACCTTGTGAATACATGCTGAGTGGTCACGGCAGCGTAGAAGTCTGAGTGTGTTGTTTAACTCATGTAGTTCCTTTCGGAGAGTTTGGATTTGGGGTGGTGTTTTTTTTTTTTTTTGGTCTTGCGAGGAATTACTAATTACTGACTTCTGGAATATGGAGTGTACCAGCATATAGCCTGTAGTGCTAAATGTGTTACATAGGGCAGTAGTGTGTAGTTAGGAAAGGTGATTGGTGTCTACAGAACTTCTTGGGTTCTATCCATTCTAGTTAAAAAGAATCCAACTGAACTTTGAACACTTTGAAAAGCATTTGATTGTAGGCAAAGCAGAGGCCGCTTTCAGGTGTCAGTTAACTGTTGATAGCCGTACACTTTCTGGCATGGTTAGTTGTTGTCCCGAGTATGTCATGATGATGTTATACTTGCATACCTTATTCCAAGAATACTTATTATTTTTACAAATGTTTACATATCCTTAAATATTGTAGTTACTGTTTATACACTTTAAAACAGTAGTTTTAAATCCTTCCGTTTCCACTGCTCTCATTATAACGTAATCACTGTATGGCTCTTGGTATGGTAATCGGTACTGGCAATTACTAGGGATAGAAACTAAAAAGTAGTACATGTTAGTCTAGTTGTGTTACAATGGTATGATGGAAATCAGAAGGGAGAAGTTTCCAACCTTTGCTGCTCCCTGTGTTAAATCATGTGCTGCAGGCAAAAATCATGCTTTGTTTTTTGTTGTAATAATTGTGGCTTCTCTTTAGCTGCTGTTTCAGGTCTGCTACATTAATGGATGCCATTAACCAATTGCATGATCTGTAAACTGTTATACTTTAATTTGTGGCTGAGTAGAATCATCCAAGCGCTAAATGTACTGTTCCTTTTTTCCCCTTTTCAATTCTCAGCTTTCCTTCCTAAATCTAATAAGCTACTTACATGTAAACATTTCTTTCTAAATGTTTCTAAAAGATTAATGCAGTTAAAAAAACAATTCCCATTTTCAAGAATGTCATAATTGTATGGTTTCATGTGAAATCTGTAGGAAAGCAAGTCTCATAGTTCAGTTGAGAGAGAAATTTTACTGCAATTTTATATAAATATGCAGCAGTGCATGGATTTTTTTGTAGATTGCTCTTGAAAAATACTGTTGTTGTGGTGTGAAAAGTGTGCCACTTTTATCCTCAGTGGTGCTTAAGCTCAAATGATTATGGAAGGTGACAATTGATGTTGCTGTCAAAAGTATTTTATTATTTTTGTTACAATCAGAAATAACTTCTGTATTTGACAAGTTTTTGTTGTTGTTATCGTGAAGAGTCAGTTACTTCATAGGTATAAATTTCTGATGAGGTGAAAAGATTTTTTTTTTTTTAATAAGTGTTCACTAGGAAAACTTTGTGGTGACTCTAACATTTGAAACTATTCAAACTTTTTTGTTAATTATTTCAAGGTGAGCATTCTTTTGAACTACTGTCTCAAGCGACCCGTTGTTTAGCTGTGGATTTCAAGGAGGGGTAGAAGCAGGATAACTTTAAATTTACTGACAACTGTGTCATATTTTTTTCAGGAAAGAAGGGATTTAGTAGTGTACAATTTTGAAAACAACTACTATGATAAAAAAAATGTTAGTAGAAAGAGGTGTGAAGATCAATTTGACTAGCTGTACAAATACTAGTGTAATTGCATGAATTACGAAATCACTGTGTAACCAATGTATTATTTCTCCCTCAGACTTGGCATGTAGCTTGTAACGCGTCTTTGTAGTTGATGTTGGAGTACGTTATCTTAAGGAGTATTGAACTGAATTGTTTGTATGTACACTTCTCCTGTTTTACATATTTAGCTGAATCAGCCAGTTAGACCGTTCTGATGACTGATGGAAACTCCTTGTATGACAGAAGGAATGCTAGATTGATTGCTTCTATATCAAAACTACTTCTCTGTTTTTAGTACGAAGACACTCGCTTTCTAATGGCATCCCTGTACTTAATTCCTTGCATTCACTGAGTTTCTGTGTATAGGGAAGAGGCTTGTACCGCTCTGTATATAGTTACGAAATGGCAAATTGGTACTTGTGTATTTGCACGTCTTGTAGGTTATAGAAGTAAATGCAGTTTATTCTGCAGCAGTGATGTGCATTCTCTGAAGTGCCAGAGAAGTAGACTTTTCTAGTATACTTGTAGTCTGATGATCAGCTAGTAATTTAAAGGCGTCAGTTCTAGCTCACATAAACCTGAAACAGCTATTTAGGGTAAGAAGGCTTGTTGTGGATGTCTAATTCACAGAGAGAAGAGCATTCTAATCTTATATAGACGTGCTTTAACTGTTACATCTACACAGAGTAAAACTGGCAAGTTTTTCTTGTATGGACAGCTGGAAATGAAATACATCAACATTGTCTTGATAAAATAACTGGATTCTTGGCAATGCTTTTTGTTTTCTGGGAGTTACCTTCTATTACAGATTACCCTAGTCAAGCTGTACTCTGACCTTGGAAGATGAACTTGATGAAATCAAATTGCTGTGCAAGAACTTGAAATTAATTTTATTCTTCCTAGATTTTTTCACAGAAAAAATGAAAATTAACTTTTTGCTTTGAGAACTTAGCTTCTATTTTTAATGTAAACACATTCAGTTATGGTTTGATTGTGGTCTTAGTGGATTTAATTATGCCCTTTATGTGCCTTCTGGAGTGTATTCTACAAAATTCAATGTTTGTGTGCTTAAAATTTGTAAGTTCATCTGTGAAACATACAGGATGCTACTGCATTTACAAGTTAAATCTGGAACTTAAGGTAGATGAGGTCCAACTGACTACCAGTTCTTGCTCTTAAGGTGTTGCAGGCTAGGGTTCAATTTGCTGGTAGAATTCCATGTAGAAGTTTCTGTAAATGACAACAACGTGCTTGTTTTGGGTGGAGAAGGCTAGCGTTTAATTTACAGAGACTCTGGTACCTAGCACAAATAAAAGCAAAGTTGATGAATTCATAGCAACTCTTATGAGGATGACAATTTTAATACGTATGTCAAGAATTTTATAAGCTGATGTGCAGATATTATGCTTCTGTAAGACAGCAACACTCTTATTAAGATCCATCTTCATCTTGCACTTCTAATCTTTTGGTCTTAAATTTATCATACTTTAGTTTCATTTCTATGCAAGGTAAGTAAAATAGAAGTTAGAAGCCTTTCTGTATTTGTGATGGTCCCGCTCAGAATTTCTGTATTCAGCAACGCATATATAGGGGCAGATGAGAACCTCCTGTCAGAGGCTGTGTGTGTCTGTGTGTAAATAAGAGCACTTTACTGTAATGTGGAGTTAAATATGGAAAAAAAAGCTGCCTGTAATTTTGGCTTGGCTTCGGCGTTCCTAGGTTGCCCATTGTATCTTAATTTAAAGTGAGTCCCCAGCAGGCCATCTTTAGTTGCATTCTATCTATAGTAAGTATTTTATCACTACTGCACACTTCAGTTAAAAATAGTATGTGTCTGTTTATATTTGTATTCAGTTAAATTCAGGTATGTCTCTATAGAATGATCTTCCTTAGACAATCTCAGAAATACTGTTTGATGTCTCGCATGTAAGAAATATCTAAACACTTGGTCTGAAGACTGCCCTGGTATTGTTTTATAGTGATGAACTGAAGGATTTAGTTGCCATTTTAATAATGGTGTTATTTGGATTTCCTCCAGACAAATTTTAAATAATACAGGATGTCATGGATGTAGAAATGAGGTTTTGAATTGTACATAAGATGAAGAACACACTTGCAGAAAGTACCTTGAGTAAAGGGCTTGCCAAACTTTGCAACAGCTGACATTTCCTTAGCATTTTAAGTGCAACTCCATTTACAGTATTCAGAACTGTTCAGCCTTGAGGTGACATAGCTTGTACTTCTTATTCTAGCAAGATGTGGTGCTGACTTCTAAATAAAAGCCATTAGTCTCAGCAGTGAGCCCATGTGTCCAGAAATGATAGAGATCCAAAAGGATTTCAGATGTGCAAATGCATGTCACAGCAGACGTATCCTCCACTTCTCTCATCCCGTTCTGACAGCAAAGATGAACATGACTCTTTCTGTGGCTTTTTCAGACAACTATAATTTTAATCTTGTCTATGTTGAGTTTCAGTTGCTAAATCTTTCTTGACTCTTACTGTTAGTAAATTACTGGATAGATTTGTCTTTATCTACACTAGTTTAAGTCAGATGGAGATAGGAGTTAATGTTTAGAATTCTTCACTGACTATATCAATAAACCTCAACTGCCCTAACATTTCTTTCTTTGCAAGGCATAGAAACAGACAACTTTTGTCCAAAACCTTCAGAATATGAAGTTATCTGGAAGTATGCTCTATGACCGGGCAAAAAGAGGAGTAGCTACACTTCCAACAGTATAGTGGAGTATATTGAGGACCAAGTCTCTAGCATTTGTTCTGACTTCTTTGTTTCTCATTTAAATATGTTTGGATGAGTTTGTTTATTGAAACATCCCACCCCTACCCAGCAGACATCTGCTTGCCTATTGTTAGCAACTTG